TATGGAGAGAGGAATTTTGTTATGAAGCTTATGGATAACTGGAGAGATGAACAAATGGCTCTTAGATTTTGTTGTGTTTTTTAATTGGTCAGTGAGCCATTTTTTATATGCTTTAGAGCTTATCCCTTTGCCATGTATGATAGGCTTTGCATCCAATAGTCAATATCTCTCGCCGCTCATATCAACAACAAAGCCTTCATTCTCCATTCTCTCTCTCACCCTAAGGGCATGTTTGTTAATAGGAAGTGGCTTTTGGAAGTTGATAACTTCTCAACTTTTCATGTTTGATAAAAATGAGAACCCCAAATTAAAAGTTTTCATCTTCCCACACCCATGTGTAAAAAAAGTTCCGACCCAAAGGTCAGAACCTCAAATAGGAAGCTGTAAACTTCCTCCCCATTCGATAACCTAGAGCACCCCTCCCCTTCGATAATCTTTGAGCACACCCCCCTGCTGAGCACCCACCCACCCACCCTGTTGAGCTCCCATCTTTTCGCAACTTCCCATCTCGCCGTTGAGCCAGCCCAGAACGCTATTATCTCAGGCAAACCTATGATTCTTGCCATTGATCTTGAGGTATGCACTTTATTTTCTTTGTTATTGATCATTTGTGTTTGTTCTTGAGCTCTTGAAGCAAATGATTCTTATTGTTGATCTCTGTGTTTGTTTTTGAGCTCTTGAAGCTTAGAGCTCTTATACCCCATGATTTTAGGGTACAAGTTTTTTTGTGGGCTTTTCCCTCTCTGTTGACTCCCAATTTGGGTCTTCTTAGTGTTTTTCTCTCTATCTTTGTCTTTGTTACTTTCTCACTGTTTGAAAATGGGCAATGGATGTTACTTGCTTCTGAAATGCTCTGTGCGCCTAACGTTATACAAACACTGTTGAAAGTGAGTGAGTGCTTTTGTGTTTGAAAGTAAGTGCTTTAGAGAGAGAAAGAGAGAGAGTGTGCATGTTTTCATGGCAGATCTCTGATCTTTCTCTCTACCAAATTTTAGTAGGTACCGCCTTTTCTTAGTTCTAGGGTTTTCTTGTCTGTGCATCTTCTAGTTTCTCATTTTCCATATGCTTGGCCTTTAGTTTTTGCAATTACAGAGAGAAGAATTATTTTCATGGATTCATTTACTTCTTTCTTGTTCTTTATTTTGAGGGTTATCGTTATTATTATTTAGACTAGGTTCTTCTCAATTTCATTTGCAACTCCTAGGAACTTTTGACAATGCAGAGCTTGATTTAAAAAAACAAAAAAAAAGGAGCTTTTTGTGGGTTCATATATTTTGCAATTCACTATTGGTTTTAGTTTTTTCTATTTTTTTATGTAGCTTCTACTTCCATTTCTACAAGTGTAGGGGCATTAAGTTGCAGAGCTTGTATGAAAAAGTGTTTCTTGTGGATTTGTTCTCTTGCATTTGGTTATTTTTTGTGAGAAAGTTAGCCTTTTCTTGAAGTTGGTTCTTGTTATTCTTTTCTTTCTTTTTTCTTTTGGTTCCATAATCTTATGCCTGCTACATCTGCAATTCTTGGGACCTTAGTTTTTGTAAAGAGCTTGATTAAGAAGAATTCTATTTATGGCTTTATTTCTTCCATTTTGTTGGATTGGGGTTTCTCTTTTTGCCAAGATACGATTTTCCGATTCTACAACTACTAAGCCATACCTTTTGCGGTAAAAGATCTTGGTAGGGAAACGTGCTTTTTGTTTGCTTCTATTTCACTGTGATTAGGTTAGAAACTTAGGGAACTTGAGTTATAGGTCGATTGTGCCCATCGCTTATATTTCAGATGAGAAACATAGAAAAAAATGTAATTTCAACAATTTTTTTCATTAATTTTATTGGGTTTTAAGGCTTATTTCCAAAAATGTTTCAGGGTTTTTAAGACTTCTTTCCAAATATTATCTTTAAAAGTTTTCATTTTCCCCCTAAGACCCATTTTATCTATTCCCTACTTAGAATCAAATCAATGTGGAACTTGCAGGTTCCATGGAACATTTTAGTTTATCTTTACAAATTTTATGTTCTTCTTGTGGAACTTATTTCTATTTCGATTTTGTCCATTTTTTTTCCAGTTTTAGGCTACATGGAACTTATGCTGTTGTGGAACTTTTAGTGCCTATCAAGTTTTTTTGCAAACAATACACCTCACCTCAAGTCATCCATTTTATCTGGCTTTTGGTTAAACATTCGGGGAAACTTGCTTGAATGTTTCATTTTCATGAGTCTTCACCATCAAACAAACAAATTTCATCAAGCTTCTCTAGTTCTATTTGGAACTTCAAAAACTCGACTTCTAGGAATTAGTGACCCTTTGTTATATTTTGTGGTAGAAATTCAGTGATACGGAGCTATTATGTGTATCAATGCCTTGATAAAGTTGTAGAGTTGATCTAGTGAAGTGATGTGAGGTGAGAATGAATAGATGTTAGTCAAACAAGATTGGCCTCAAATTTGTGCAGTAAAAACCATTATTTTCTTTTTGTTTCTCTTTTTTTTGCTCTACTAGATCTATGGTGCAAGAATAACTAGTGAGATGTTCTAAATTATAGATTATAATGAGCGAGAACGAACAACTTTTACTTGAATGAGAATGTGTACATATACACAAAGTATTGATGATATAAGGAATACTGCCCCTCAGTGGTAAAGAAATGTAAAAATGAAAGAAGAAAACTATACCTATTATGATGATCATGATCCAAATTCTTTACTCTCTCAGAGAATTGCTTTTCGAGAACTATACCGCATTGTGAAGCATTTGGACTGAGCATTCCCTTCCTTGCTCTCTGAAAAATGAAAATAATCCTTCTCGTGCTCTCATAATATACCTCTTTTTGAGCTGCACAGCATTTGATGGTAATCTCCCTTAATAATTTAATTATGTCTAGATACTACTGCACTTCTATTGTAATTCTTGAACAATTCCTATCTCTTTCGAAATAGCATGAATCCAAATCAATTCACACAGGTGGCGATTCATATTTAGCTCTTGCACTTTAGCTTGACATTGTGCTTTTCTAGTTCCAAAAGAGAACAGTGGAATCCTCTTAACTGCGAACTATATTGTAACTTAGAATTTGAAAACTAATATTCAAGCAAACCATGTACAATATCACAAAACTGGGGAGAAAAAAAGCCTCCTATCATGCATGAACATCATGTGAGATATCTAGATCAGTGATCATCAATGCTCTCACCTTAGTCCTTTGCAATTTTGTCTTGCTGCTTGGGGAATTAAGTTGGTTTGGTTTGCTAACATTCCATTTCTGATCAAATATTAGTGGGGCATCATTTTATTGATATGAATGGATTACCCTTGTTGGATCTTGAAAGCACAACAGATAATAAGTATCAAAGGTTAATATAGTCCTTCGTGTAAGAGAAAAAGTAACTATGTTACTTGAACTATTTATATAAAGGCTTGTTCATCCTTAATTACCATTATCTTTTGTGTACACAAGTGAAATTATTTCATGCCCTACCTAACTTCTTTACAATCTATGTCAGATTTAAAGATGCTTGATTAAACTAGATGTTGGTGAATTACTCGTGCGACTGTACTCAACATCATTGTGAGAGCCTTTTCCCAACTTGCACGTGAAACCGCAGGTAACAGGAGTACTCCTGTGGTAGATACTCCGTCCAAGGTTAGGAAAGATGCCTTAAAGATTGTTGAAGACATGTAGAGAGCAAGTGAAGTTGGTGATGATGTCTTTGTAATGGCAGCAAGGATCTTCCAAGATTCTACAAAGGCAGAAATATTATTAAACATACTAGATCCAAGGATACGAAAGACTTACTTGGATGAAGAGATGACACACCTCTAAATACTTTATTGACTATGTTTACTTTCTGGTTTCCATATTATAAATATGCATGTGGATGACTTCTTTCATTTGTAATTCAATGGTTTCTTTCATTTTAATATCGAGATTGTTTCATGGTTTTCATTATGGATGTGGATGGCTTCTTTTATATTATGGTTTGATAGAGATTACTTTATGGTTTGCATTTTATAAATATATATTGGGTAAATTTTTTCATTTGTATGTGGATGGTTTCTTTCAATTTAATGACAAAGGTTGCTTCATGGTTTTCTTTATGGATGTGGATGACCTCTTTCTTATTATGGTTTGATAGAGATAACTTTATGGTTTACATTTTATAAATATGTATTGGATAAATTCTTTCATTTGTATGTGGATAGTTTCTTTCAATTTAATGTCAAAGGTTGCTTCATAGTTTTCTTTATAGATGTGAATGGCTTATTTCATATTATGGTTTGATTGAAAATATTGCTTTAATTTAATGTGGGCGCCTTCTTCTATTTCTAGTTATGGATCCCCAACAAAGTCGGTTGGTGGTAATATTATATCTTACATATATAATGTGGTGCATTATATATTGGTATATCACTACGTAAAAGAAGAGAAGACGTGTTCATACTTCAATTTTTACTGGGGCCAATTATGTCCAATACTTGCTATCAGGGCACTCTCGTAAGTGCTTCGACCAATTATGAATGGAAAGTTGTGCTTTTATCAATCTATGTAATTTGTTAAAGCAGAGGACAAACAGTACAGATACAAGATATTTGGCAGTTGATGAACAAGTAGCCATATTTTTAAGTATTGTCACACACGATCAACGTAATAGGGTGGTCCATGAATGGTTCCAACATTCTGGGCAGACCATAAGTTACTACTTCCATAGAGTTTTACAAGCCATCTTACAATGGGAAGCTTTGTTCCTGCAACCAGCAAGCAATGAAACACCGGCCCACATTGCTAGTGATACACTACAATTTTACCCATATTTCAAGGTATGCGAGTGTTAAGTACTTCACATTGTTGTTCTCACATCCATTGAGAATTAATATATAATATGTTGATTGTTTTCTCTTAATAGGATTGTGTCGGAGCTATTGATGAGACTCATGTCCCTGCTCGAGTTCGTAGTCGATTGCATAATCGTTTCTGAAACAGAAAAGGTTTTTTAAGCCAGAATGATATGGCTGCAGTTGGTTTCGATATGCGCTTCCATTATGTACTTGCAGGTTGGGAAGGATGCGCATCAGATTCTAAAATCCTATATGACGCAATTAGTAATGAAGGTAATAGACTTGCAGTGCCTGATGGTAACTTTGTTCCTTTCTATATTTCATTGCTTCGGTTTGTACAATATTTCTAATGTAATATTTGGCCTTACAATATACTCATTGCACAAACATGGTACAGAAAATATTACCTTGTAGGTGGTGGGTATCCTACTATTTGTGGTTTTATAGGACCATATCGAAGAGGCCGTTACTATCTAAACGAATTTACTTTAGGCCCACGAGCTCCCCAGAATCACAAGGAGTTATTCAACAAGCGGCATTCCACGCTTAGAAATGTGGTGGAGAGGACAGTTGGACTTTCGAAAGTTAGATTTCCTGTACTCAGGAATCAAATGCAGTATCCTTTACGAACATAGGTTGATGTAGTTATTGCATATGCAATATTGCACAACTACATCATGATGACTCGAGGAGCCGATAGCAGAAGGGAGCTGTGTTTTCGAAGGAGGGTTGAGAGTCAACTCTTAATTGATGGAGATGACGGTTTTTCGCAATTGACTCAAGGGCATGTTGATCATGATGTGGACGTCAATCTGCGAGATGCCATAGCGACGCAGTTGTGGGAGGCTTACCTAAGTCGCTAGCACTTGTAATTAAATAGTGTTCTGCATTTTATATGAAATTTTATGTTGTGTTCATTCTATTGCATTTTGAATTATATATGTTTAAACTATTACATGTTATTGTTGAATGGGGTTTTGTACGTGGTTTTCTTTATGGGTGCATGAATTGTGAGTGTTGCTTGATACAGATGCGTCAGTGTTGAATATAAGTAGTGGTCAAGTTATTGCAAGATATTGTTGAATGAGCTGATTTCTTACTGATTGCATTGTGCATGTGTATTTGAATGAGTTGATTTCTTGCAGATTATTGTTTATGGGTACATGAATTGTGAATGTTGCTTGATACAGATGCATCAGTGCTGAATATATGCAGCACTCAAGTTATTGCAGGTTATTGTTGAATGGGCTGATTTTATACTGTTTGCATTGTGCATGTGTGTTTGAGTGGATTGATTTCTTAATACTTGTATTTTGAATTATGTATGTTTAAACTATTACAGGTTAATTGTTGAATGGGCCGGTTTTGTACATAGTTTTTTTTTTTACGGATGCATCAATTGTGAATGTTGCTTGATACAGATGCATCAGTTCTGAAGTTATTACATGTTATGATTTGTTATTACATCTCTAGAGGTGGTCCTCGTCCAATGAAATGATAAATGGTATAAAGAGGGTCCGGAACCCCTTGGAACATGATATGATCACAATGGTGGGTCCTACCTTTTCATCACTACTCATAATTCATCAAATGTGGATTATCCCGATGGAGTATAGTTTTTTGTAGTGCATTGGATATTATACATCCCTTTTCTAAAACATCTAATGCCTCCATAGAGTTTCAATATTTTGACCCCAAGTGTCTTACATATTTTTGTATACTTCTTACTCTCAAACTTCTCTCGTAGTTTATCTATTGGGCCACATAGCGTGCAAATCTTGAAATGTTCATTGATTAGTGAATTTATTTTATTATGCATTTTACATTTTCTTTTTTTTTTGAAAAGATCTTTTTGAGTCTAATGCCATGATATGAAACATTTTGCATTTTTCTTTTCACTGTTTATAAGTACTATATATTTTGACAAAAGTTGTCAAAAAAAAAAATTTGAAAAAGTGAATGCACAAAAACAAAATCGTGGAAACACAAAATCGTGCAAACAAAAAATTGTTACAAGAATAAGATAGAGACTACAAATCTCACAATGGTAGACTACACTTCTCTATGGATTTTTCTTGTCTTCATGCATGTCCATACTTCTTTGCAAAAAAAGAAACTATGTGCACCTATTCTTTACAAAAAAAAAGAAACATAAAATAAGTTACATGACTGCCACTGATTTAGGAAACTTCAAAATGATATGCGCTTTATAAAAATTACATGACTGCCATTGATTTGGAAAACTTCAAGATGATATCTGCCCCATGATATTTCTTTTGGTAGGGACTATAGGCCGGTTTGGAAACCAAAATACAATTTTCTCATGTGGTGTTAGTGGTGGACATATGAAAAATGTAACTCTTGCTAATGGGATGAAAGCCAATCTTTTTTCTAGTCCAATACACCCAGTTCTTCTTTAACTTCCCAGGAGGTTATCAAACACTGAAACCAGGAACTTCTTAACTTTCCAGCAAATTATCAAATACAGAAACCAGGAACTTCTTAACTTTCCAGGGAGGTTATTAAACACATTAACCAGGAACTTCTTAAATTCACAAAACTTAAGAAGTTCCAATTTACAGTTCTTGAACTTGCTTCCAGTTATCAAACAGACCCTAAAGAAAACGTTTTAGTTCAATATGAACGTTGATGGGTAGCTTACTTAAGAGGGCAATCTTTCTATGCTTCCCTTACAACATAAAACTTATATATTTCCCTTTATCTAACTGTACATTCTAAATGGAGGGCTAAGATTGCCCCAATCACAATGTCACGTCTCTACACTATTTTATTTTTAATTTTTTTTTCTATAAACTATTTTTACACCAAATTTTGGACGTCCAATCTTTCATTAAACTCGTAACTAGAAAAAAATATAAAAAAATTATTTTCAATAAAATAAAATGATCAAAATGCCCTTAAAAGATTCAAGGGGTAGTTTAGTCATTATATTTTATCGAAAAATTATTTTTAATATTTTTTATAGGTGTGCCCCAATGAGAATATTGCACCTACCAAATTTTACATTAAAAAAATTTGTATAAAAAAACTACAAATAAAATACTTTGAGACGTCAGATCTAAGATCAAACGGTGAGTGGCTCTCTTGATCAAAATTGGACAGCTGGATGATCGGGGAAACATAGATCTTCTATGATGTAGGGAAAGTATAGAAACCTTTCCCGGCTTGAAAAAGAAAGAGTAACATTTACTAAAAATATGTATTTAAAGAATTGCCCCTAATCTAAAGACATGGGGATAAAAAATATATAATATTATTATATTTAGAATAAAAGACAAGAGATGAACCATAAAGTAAATAGTAGTCATGAGGCCTTTGGGGCCATACTCTAACAAGGAAGAGGCCTTTCCAATTGATCCACCAAATAGGGGACCATGCACGTGTTCTTGAGAGAGGAATCCTCACACCTGCATAGTAGCATATGTCTTTTTTGTCCATAGGGGATGCACCAACAATCCTCTTAAATTTCGGGGTTCGGCCATCGATCAATAGACTTTAATTGGCCAAACATAAACTTCTACTAGCGATTATGAGTCATGGGTCTGCTAGGTTGGTTTGAGAATATATTTGGGGATTCCTGGATGATCCAAAGTGGAGTGCTTGTGTATTATGCATTCAACTTCTAAGGTACCTAAGTTCTCTTCACAGATTTTATTAATTCCACAAACTAATTTCTTTTGGTAGAGAATGTGTGATAGTGTGATTATGTCCTCTTGAGAGGCATTATGCCTAAGACCTCATGGCCTACATTTGGGACCCTTCGATGACATGTGTGGAGTTTTTGGCTTTTGGAAGGGGGTTTGGTTTAAGCTTGGGTGTTTAGACCTCTGGCTTTAGGGTAGCATGCACATTGGGTCGGGTGCAACACCAGGAAGAAATGCACCCATCATAGTACATCTTCCCCGTGAGGACTAAGAGATACGAGAGAAAGAGTAGCAGCCCAAATGGTTTGTCATAACAATCTCTCCTTGCTCCTGAGCTTGTCTCAGTTCTACAGGGAAAAGCCCTTGTTGATATCAATTGGGCCTTATGCATGAGTATAGAAAACCCTAAAAGCAATCCACGAAAACAAGAAAGAATAAACAAACACAAAAGAAAGAGACAATTAACTACAACGTAAAGATATACGTGATTCGACAACATACATACGTCCACGGGAGAAGAAAGCTTCTTTACTGGCAATAGAGAATAGAGTTACAATAGCTCTCTTCCTCACGTCTCTCTGTTCTCTCTGATTATAAGAAATCTATGTTTTTTCCTTAACCCTAAAATAGAACCCCATCGCTACATTATATAGAGTCCCAGGTATTGGGCTTTTAACGACCCTCCGGAGTCGTCTCTTTGACTTCACCTTTGGCAGATATATTTCCTCAGAATACAAGACATCAGTCCCCAACAATGAGAGCTGGATAGGTGAGAATTGCCCTTAATCTAAAGATATGGGGATCAGATGTTAGATGGGAAATGATGATCATCATCAGCTTTCAAAGGGTCAAAGAAGTGACGATGAGGTCTGCTTGGGACTAGCCATGGGGTCAAGGAGGCATCTCAAATGCACAACAGGCATGGCAACGGTGTAGGCCTTAAGGGCCCTTGCAGTGGTAGTCATAACAGGACCCACAGTACTTGGCCGGAGGGGAACAATGGTGTGAGACATGGTAGGACTAGCGGTGAGAGACCTAAGGGAATTGAAGGTGTGAAACTTGAGGAGACCAATGAGGCAGAAGCCTGGCCACTGAGAGGGTGGTGCAGAGTGCCGGTAGGAACCTTGACTGCATTACTGGCGAAGTCAACAGAGTGATTATGCTTTCCCTTTTTGTGTGTGAAATACATGTGATCACAATTTATATATATGGATAAATCAATAAATTCACACAAGAAAGGCAATCAAAATCTTCAATTAAAATAGTGTAATATCAGGTAGAGGTGATTATTGACCCGATCTGAATCCAAAATCCAAAATTCAGACCCTATTAGGATCCTGGCATGGACCCCAAATTTGGATCTGAAATCCGATTCCGGATCGAATTCAGGTGCAGGTGGATCAGATCAGGATACGATGCGGATCCAACTCAATTTAGTCGTGGGAGGCAAGGCACAACG